AGACCAGGAGCTGGGAGGTGAGCTGGTGTGTGACTGGGAGGGAGAGTGCAGAGAGCAGGAGAGAGACAGTTGGTTACCGACCAGGAGCTGGGAGGTGAGCTGGTATGTGACTAGGAGGGAGAGTGCAGAGAACACGAGAGGACAGTCGGTTATAGACCAGGAGCTGGGAGGTGAGCTGGCGTGTGACTGGGAGGGAGAGCGCAGAGAACACGAGAGGACAGCCGGTTACAGACCAGGAGCTGAGAGCAGTCCAGCCTAGTCTCTCCCCGTGACATCCTGCTGACGAGGTTACAGTCAGGTGGCCTTCTGTCACTCCCCGTGTTCCCCCCCACCCCGGGTGTCTCACAGCCGTGACCTCATCGGAGCCTCTTGGTCAGACAGTCACAGTGACCTCGGGAGACAGGACAGCAGTCACCATCCTGGCGCAGAGGCCAGGTTGCTGGTGCTCAGGAGAGCCGGCCGCGGTCGTCTGTCCCTCCACTGTGCTGCTGTCTCTGTGTCTGTGCAACAGCCGAGGGGAAAGGCAGCCAGAGACGGAGAAGCCAGGATAGCTGGAGAGACGGCTGAGCCTTTCGGGGGGCCTCCCAGGACTGGGTGGGGTCACGTGGACTGCGTGTGACTTCTGTATTTTCTTGATTCTGCGAAGCCTTTGATTGTAGGACAGACCAGCCACTTAAAATTTTTTCCCAGGGAAAAAGGGCCCTAAAAATATAACGTGGACCCTGATTTTAGAGACCTAAAAATAACAGTAATCTGGGAAATGTATTGTCTTAGATTGAGCAGTAAAGCTGGGCGTTTCAGCGAAGGGGAACAGACAGGCAGTTGATGCCAACGTTGATAATTGCCAGAGAAACTCACGCACACTATGGGTGCGTTGCCTGCCGCGGAAGACCTCTGCGGCGGAGGGCCTGGCCCGCGGGGCCCAGTACAGCTCTCGCTGTCACCTCACACCAGAGACAGGGACGTGTCCACAGAGCATTCGTTCAGCCATTTAGGAAATGCTGTGTGCACACTTACCTGAACTGGGCAGGCCCTGGACCGAGTGCTATGGGATGAGACCCCAGTCCTTTAGGTTTCCCATTTAGTGGGGTGGGCTGGCACGCAAACATGGTCACAGTGCTGAGTGGTGGCTGCAGGGCTATCAGTTACACAGCGCCTGCTGCGTGCAGGACAGCAACCATGACGCGTCTCATCTGACGGTTTTCTCAGCGTGCCTTGGGAGGGGGCTCTGCTATTCCCATCTTACAGAGGAGGAAAGCAGGGCTCAGAGAGTCTAGGTGGCTTGCCCAGGTCCCCCCCAGCTAGGAAGTAGCTGAGCTGCCATTAGAACCCACGTCTGGCTGTCTCCGAAAGCATCGTCTCCAGCAGCCTCTGTGGTTGTGCGGAGGCAAGCCTGGGCCTTGGGGGCCCAAGAAAGAGCATCAGCTCTGGCCTGGAGGCCCTGGGCCAAGGAAGAGCTCTCGAGAGCCAGCCAAGTCTTGAAGGAGAAAGGGGCGGCCCAAGGAGGGTGGGCTTCCTGGCAGAGAGGCGCTCTGGGCGGGAGCCAGCCGGCACTTTGGGGGCTGCCCAGAGGAGTGCTAGGGGATGGTGGGGGCAGTGGAGAGGAAGACAGAACACTGGGGCTGCAAGGCTGGAGTGCTGGGGATGATGGGGGCAGCGGAGAGGAAGCCGAAACAGTGGGGGCTGCGGGGCTGGAGTGCTGGGGATGGTGGCGGCAGCGGAGAGGAAGCCGAAACAGTGGGGGCTGCGGGGCTGGAGTGCTGGGGATGATGGGGGCAGCGGAGAGGAAGCCGAAACAGTGGGGGCTGCGGGGCTGGAGTGCTGGGGATGGTGGCGGCAGCGGAGAGGAAGCCGGAACAGTGGGGGCTGTGGGGCTGGAGTGCTGGGGATGGTGGGGGCAACGGGAGAGGAAGCCGGAACTGTGGGGGCTGCGAAGCTGGAGTCAGGAGGGAGTGCTGGGATGGTGGGGCCAGTGGAGAGGAGGACAAAACCGTCCTGGGAAGGCCTGGGTGGCCGGACCTGTTGGCCTCAAGTCCCCTGCACTGTGCCTTGAGCTGCCCTGCTGCAGCTCTCCTCGGCCGCTGTCACCAGGAAGCTGGTGCTGACGTGTTTGTAATGTGTCCTTCCTGCAGGCCCTGTCATGGCATTTAATCCACGAGCAGATGCCGCTGAGCCTGGACCTGCAGGCCGGCCTGGACTGCTGCTGCTTGGCGCTGCAGCGGCAGGGCCTCTGGCTTGTGGTCTCCTCCCCAGAGTTCGTGAGCCACGCCTGCTCCCTCATCCACTGCGTGCGCTTCATCCTCGAGGCCAGTGAGTAGACGTGCCACGGTGGGTCTCTCCCCGTCTGCCGGGCCGACCCCCACAGCATGTTCAGTCCACGCACGCTGACATGGCCTCCTGGGGCAGGCCCCTGTTAGGAGCTGGGGGAGGAGGCGGGTGAAAATGGGCCTGGTCTGGAAGGGCCTGCCTCTGAACCCCTGCCTCTTGGAGCCTTCACTGGAATTTGACTCGAATTTCTAGTAATTTTGTTAAGATTTTGGGGCTGCAGCTTTCTTAAAAAATACTTCTAAATGCTATGTCCCTTTGATCTCAGGTCCTAGTTGACGTTTTCCTGTTCTCAGTCCTGAGCGATCATAAGATTAACAAGATCACATTAACAAGATGACTTGTTTTCTGTTGTAGTCAAAACGATTGTTTCTATACTGCATTGTAATACTAATGGTTTATAAAATAAAAGTTACTTATTCTTTCCAAGGGGCAGTGTTCTCGGTGAGGGTCATTAGTCAACATTTTAAAAAAATTGGATATTATAGTTTACATGTTAGGGGGTGTTTTGAAGTTTTGTGTTTTTAAATTAAACATGATGGAGTGGTATTTTGAAGCTCGCTGTTTAAATTGTTTTCATCTGTGCATTTGTCGGCAACTTGAAAACCGAGATCTAGAGATTAATTTTTAAAAGCCAGACTTCTTGGGGATTATGCTTTTAGCCATAAAGGATCATGAAACATCTGATAAAAACCTTCAGGGTTAGACATGGCAAATAGTAGATAGTGGAAGGATTTAGAAACCTGAATGCAGACATCCAAATCCTTGAAATCCAGGAGTAGCCGGGAGGTTGACACCTAAGTCTGGTGTTACCTAGTCCTTTCTACGTGTCTCACGTTGACTGTAGGAAATCCGGCCTCACCTGACAGTCTGCCCCTTTGAGCTTCCACATGGCCACACAGCTGTGGGACTTGGGTCAAGGTGGTGGCTGCTGGGAAAGGCATGTTTGCTCTGTCGTCTTGCAGTTGCAGTGCAGCCTGGGGACCAGCTTCTAAGCCCAGAGAGGAGGACCAGTGCGCCAAAGGCCATCAGAGAGGACAGAGTGGACTCTAACACCCCACGTATGTCTCCGGGAGCTTGGAATTCACTTGCAAAAGAGACACGTGATGTGGTGAACGTGGGATCTTGAAAACTGACTTCAGCTCAGCAGTGTGGTGTGGCTCAGCCTCTGTGAAGGGAGACTTGAAGTCATTGCCTTGAACGCCCCCTCCTTTGTCTGCACTTGGGCGCACACCCCTGGGGACACAGGCTCTCCCTGACCTGCGTCCCCCCTCCCCATCCCTCCATCCTAGCACTTCCTGGCCCCGTGGCAGGGCGTGTGTTCTCCTCTGTGTCCTCGGAAACGTCTGCTGGGTATTGGATGAGGAAGTAGAGATGTTGAGGGGCTGGATGTTAGTGGGCATCGCCACACGAATATTAGGGTCACCCGAGCGTCTGTTTCAGCTGTCTGTTTTGGTGGACTTCCTAAAAGAAAATTCCTGCCTTTCCTGCAGGAAAGCCCAACTCCCAGTCTATGAAACCTGTTGTAGATTTAGTCTTGTCGATCCGACTGTTCGTATCCTATTCTGAAAGCGGTGGCTGGGCAGGCGGGAGGGAAACTTGGGCCGGGTGACTCTTGTGGCCACGGTTGGCTCCAGGCTCTTTAGCTGCCGTGGCCGTCGGAGGCTGGATCTGAGCCTCCCACCAGGCCCCGGGGTGACTCAGGTCCTGGACCCCAAGGGGCCTGGTGGGAGGCTGACTGACAGCCGGGCACAGAGAACGCCGGCGCCTCCCGGGGCTGTCTGTCTGTCTCAGGTGAAGGCTCTTACACTCTGACTTGGAGGCTGGGAGCCTCCTCTGGGCTCCGCTGGCTCGTTTGTGATGCACACACGTGCGTCTTTTCTTGTCGGCTTTTGTGCCCTCCGGGGGTGGAGTTGTCCTGACTTCAGCCTTGAGCATAGCATTTTTCCTTCTAGTTCCCTGCTCAGGTTTCTGTAATTGCAGAAGCTTCCAGAGCAGTGGCGTTTCAATGCTCAGACCCTGCTGTGGTTGATCGCGGCCTCTCGGGCCCCTCCCAGCCCTTCCTCTGACTCCCCGACTTCTTGTTCACACACTCACATCCCCGCCTGGGCTCTTCCTAGCCATGTGGCCAGAAGCAAGGCATGGATCTTGCCGTTCTGAGATGAGGATGAGAATAGTGGGGCGCTTACGGGATTGTTGTAAGGATTAACTAAGTTAAAACGTGCAAAGCACCGAGGACGAGTACCAGGCTTACAATAAGCGCCCAGGGAATGCTGACCGTCGTTTTGGTTATAATTTGAGTCTCCATTGAAGATGGTCCGAGCATTTTGAGGATTTGAGTCAGAGCAGCGTGGGCCCCGGTGGAGCGTGTTGAATTTGGGTTAATGTGATTGTGCTTAGTCTCTGTGACCCTGTTTAGACCAATTACTTTCATCCTGGCCAGAAGAAGCCTGGTTGTTTAATCACCTCGATACAATGACACCTCTTAACGGTTTCTCAGTAAATGTTATTCAAGGTGACCAGTCGCTATGACTCAGAACCAACTCTACGGCAACGGGTTTTTGGTTATTTCTGTTAGCTTGGGACTTAATTCTTTAAATCCAGTAAGAATTCTTTCTCAATATTAGGAAGTTGCCTAGACAGTTGACTCTGTGGGACTGTGGGTAATAGCCATCTCTGATCCTAAACGTTTATCAGCTCAACGAATAGCATTTTCTCACGTGCTGCATGCAGACCCAGAGTGAGCAGGGAGCCGCCCCCGGACTCAGGACGCTTTAGTGCTGTGGCTTCTACCCAGGGTGCACGTGCTGCCCAACAGCCTGCACCAGGGGTTCTAGCTGGGACTCGGCACCCCTCGTTTGAGAAAGCTGGGGCACGCGATGTGTCGGACCCCAGCCCAAGGAGAGCCCCTGATCTGGGGGAAACGCAGGCACCAGAGATTCCAGCGTGGTTCCTTACCTGCCAGCGCAGGGACAAGCCCGGAGGGGTGGGGGGCTCCCGGGAGCAGCAGAGACAGCGGAGGGCAGGGGGTATCCTGACGGACGTTGTCAGCTGAGGAACCGCACGCCTGCTCTGGGTGTCGGTGGGTGTCGCCCGGGATGGGTGAAGGGCTGGAGACCAGAGGCAGGAGACCCAGTTCAGGATGGCTGCGACAACTCTGCAGGCAGTGGAGACTGAGCTGGGGCAGACAGGGAGGCAGAGGAAGACGTCTGGGGCGACCACACATCTCTGGCTTGGGCATCTGGTGGTGGGCCGTGCCCTTTGCCCTGGGACGGCGTAGCAGTCAGGAGCAGGGGTGGCAGCTTGGGTGTCTTCTGACGAACAGGTCCTCTCTTCACCATGGTTGCTTGTTTGGCTAGATCGGCAGTCTATCACCACAGCCTGTGAGATGGTGGCAGAAATGGTGGAGGCTTTGCAGTCGGTGCTGGCCCTGGGCCATAAAAGGAACAGTGGCATGCCGGCCTTCCTCACGTCAGTGCTCAAGAACATCGTCATCAGTCTGGCCCGCCTACCCCTCGTCAACAGCTACACACGGGTCCCGCCCTTGGTGAGTCCGAAACTTTCCTTTGCCCAAGACTGAAATCAGGGAAAATGTATGAGGAAGCCCCTGGCCACAGTGTCTTGGGGGGCGATCGTGGCCGCGGTGTCCCGGTACGCGGTTGTGGCCGCAGCATCTCGGGGTTGGGGGGGCGGTCGTGGCCGCGGAGTCCCGGTGGGCGGTCGTGGCCACGGCATCTCGGGGTTGGGGGGCGGTCGTGGCCGCGGAGTCCCGGTGTGCGGTCGTGACACTGGTCTCGTTTCCCTGGCATTGTGTGAAGTGAGGTGAGTGGTTACGTCATTACGGAAGACTCACCTCCTGCTGAGCGTTGACTGGAACTCTAAAGTGATAACAGACCAGAATCCCTCCAGTTAAGTGAGCCTTTTCCTCTAAGAGTGGTCTCTTGGAGGTTGTTCATGCATTTCAGCTCCTCTTTAGAATTGTCTTCAGAGCCAGTTAAGAATAGGCGTTTTTAGCCAGGATCCACTTCCAGTAACCAGAAGAGCTGGAGGAGGACGAGGCTGGCCTCTCCCCAGGGAACCTGCACCCTCCCTAGCAGGGAAGAAGGGCTCTGGCCAGCAGGATTAAATCCATGAATGGATGCTAGCCAGACAGAGTAGGCCCACGGGGGGGGGGGGGTGTGCCTGCAGATTCTGCGGAGACCTTGTGAGATGAGAGGGGCATTCCCAGGAAGTCTGGAGCCCTTCCAGGCAGGGTCCCACTGAGAAAAGGCCTCACGTGTGGGAGGCCTGGACGTGGTGCCACAGCAGGGAGTCGTTGGCACTTCTCATGCCCAGTGTCCCCTGGTAAGAGGAAAGGAGGGGCAGCACGTGAGAAGCTGGTCATCGCCAGACTGCGGAGCTCAGACGGTGGCTAGGAAAGGCTCTCGGCCTTATTCTCTGGGCAGGGGCTGCGTTGCAGATCAGCAGAGGGCGGGCTGGAGACTAACGGTGCTCTGTGAGGAGAGCAGAGGCCGGACTCAGGAAGCCGGAGGCTGTTATTGTTGTCTAGAGGAGACATTGTCTGATGTACTTCAGGGTACCTCAGCCAGGACATGCAGTGTAGACAAACCACCCAAATGAGCAGTCTAGAGGGGACAGTGTCTGATGTACTTGAGGGTACCTCAGCCAGGACGGGCAGTGTAGACAAACCACCCAAATGAGCAGTCTAGAGGGAACAGTGTCTGATGTACTTGAGGGTACCTCAGCCGGGTCAGGCAGTATAGACAAACCAGTCAAACGAGTAGTCTAGAGGTGACAGTGTCTGTCAGGCAGTGTGGACAGACAGCCAAGTGAGTAACCTCATCCATCCTGGATGGAGCCCTTTGCAGGACCCTGGTGAGAACTGTGCACTGTGGCTCGCCTGCTGATACCTCCCTCTGAACTGCACCCAAGGGTGTGGGGAGTAGCTGAGGTTTAGAGTGAAATGTTTTCTTCGGTGAAATGAGCGGAGCTGGAGTGACTCCAGCGGGTGCTGTCTCAGAGGCCCTGCCTCACACACGGCTGTGGGCTCCAGAGCGGGCGCTCGGCCTGCAGCTCTTGTCAGTCCTCTGCCACCTCGTCCAGGGAGGTCAGTCAGTGGAGCTGGCTGGAAGGCTGAGTCTGCCTCGAGGGGGTTGACCCTGCGCAGCTCTTGTTGGCCCACTAAAAGACATCGAGTGGGGCCCCACGGCCTTGTGGAAGTGAACGTTGGGACTGTTTGTGACCTGCTTGCCGATAAGCGTTTCCTCAGTGTGTGGCTGAATTCACCCAAGACTTGCTTTTAGTATCACACACCCTCTGTCATCCTGTGGGCGAGGGGACCTGTCTCTACCGTTGACCTCCCCTTGTGGTCGGAGGTGCCAACACCGACCAAAAGAACCTGAGTAACACGGAGCTGGACTGACCTAGATGTGTGGTTGTTACGTGAGAGGTCATGGGGCCACCCCAGGAAGGGGCAGGGCAGATTTAGGGTAACACTCCATGGAGAAGGTGATCCTGAGGCACCAGACTTGGAGCAGCTTTCCCAGGAAAGCAGCAAGCTTGCTTTCGGGAATGCTTGTGGAAGCGTTCTGTGGGGGGTTGGGCTCAGGAGAGCAGTGGGGGCAGAGGAATGGGGCTGGTTTGTTCTTCACAGTGGCTGTCCCGACCCGATCTGGGTGAGGTTATTTCTGTTTATGTTCTCAGGTGTGGAAGCTCGGGTGGTCACCCAAACCCGGAGGGGACTTTGGCACAGCACTTCCTGAGATCCCTGTGGAGTTTCTTCAAGAGAAGGAGGTCTTCAAGGAGTTCATCTATCGAATCAATACACTAGGTATTCCTCAGATTTCTTCTTCAGAACTGTTAGATGCCATAGGATACCTGCCTGAGGGGAACCAAGGCTACGTCACAGGCCTTCTCCTCTTACTCCCTAAGAGAGCTAGGAGGTGACAGAAACGCCTGTGAAGACGGTTTGCGGTGGCTCCTGAACGCGTCTATTACAGTGAAGAGTTAGATCTGTCTGTGCGTGTATATGTTTAATCCCAGGTTTTTCCGTATCAGGTTTGTTAGAAGACGGGATAGGCGCACTTGTGATTCATAATGTGAGACCAGACTTAACCTTCATATTATGTACTTAAGCCAAGTAGTGTTCTTCTCTGAGCGTTTTCTTCTGTTTACCTGTTTGCTGCTATTCTGTTAGCCTTGGGCTCCATCTTTTCACGTGTAGAATGTGCACCTGGGGAAGATGATTTGTTAAATCTCTTGATATAAAATTCTCAGGAATCAGCCTGCTGGAGTGGAGAGGAAGACAGCTTGGGGCTTGGATGGCCCGGAGCTGTGCCTCCAGTACGCTGCACTGGGCGGTGCTGGCAGGCCATTTTCACCCCTCAGAGAATTGCTGCCAAATTGGAAACGAAACAGAGAGGCACCCGTCATGGGGGATCTCAGTAAATGGTGGTGCTAGCAGTTTCCCGGTCAGCATCTTCTCTGTTTTCTGAAGCTGAGTGTAGATCGCCACTCTTTAGCTCCACTTTATCGGTGGCATTCCAGTCTGGTGGGAATGTAGCACGGCAGTCCTCCATGGCTGGGAAGTCCTAGCCCATCATGGGGTCCCTCCCTTGGTCCCCCGGCGGCTTGCTCTCTCCGGCTTTCGCACTTGTGTGTCCTTTGATCCCAGGAGTTCAGGCAGCAGACACCTCACTGCCTCTGCATTTCCCTGTTGGTCAGTGGACAGCTCATTGCCGTGTCCAAAATGGAGCCCAGGGAGGAGCTTGTCTTCTTCCTCCTTGAAGGTGGTCAGACCCCTTCCTGGCCTGTCCCTCTTGCCTGACACCAGGCCCTTTTTTCTTTCTTGAGCTGTCAGTCAGACACGTGGGACCGCGACAGTCTTCTGGTATTTGCCTTTGCTCCTGCCTCTTGTTTCCTTTTCTTCGCCTTTGTCTCTTTCCCTGTGTTAGCCATCACGTATGTCTGTCTGTCTGTCCATACAGATAGGTATATGGAAACAAACCCGTTGGTGTCGAGTTGATTCCAACTCACAGCGACCCTATAGGACAGAGTAGAACTGCCCCATAGGGTTTCCAGGGAGTGCCTGGTGGATTCAAACTGCCGACCTTTTGGTTAACAGCCAAGCTCTTAACTAGTATGCCACCAGGGCCCCATATGTATGCATGTGTGTATATGTGTATGTATACATATGCATACATACACACGTATATACGTACACCATATATACCTCCTACGCCACCAGGGTTCCCCTAGAGACATACAGATAGATTTATATATGTATAGGAGTCCTGGTGGCACAGTGGTTAAGAGCTTGGCTGCTAACCTAAAGGTCGGCAGTTGGAATCCACCAGCTGCTCCTAGGAAACCCTGTGGGGCAGTTTTACTCTATCCTATAGGGTCACTATGAGTCGGAACTGACTTGACGGCAACGGGTTTCCTTTGTTTTTATATGTCTCTGAGTCAGTCCATCTACGTCCAGTTTACCAAGGAGATCTTGAGATTTGATTTTTTAGTTCTCCTGTCCTCAGCAATCCTACACCTGTCACCTGTAGCCTGAAGCAGATGACGTGGCCTCCCCCTCACAGGTAGGGGTGGAAGCATTAAAGGCAGCCTCAGAGCGTTTACTGAAGGCCACTTTGAGCATCACCCATTGGTAATGACACTTGAGAATGACCCAGCAGACATGCCCTCACAGGGCCCTGGGATGTTCCTAAGTGGACTGTGTTCTTTTTTGATCTTATGTTCTTGCCATTTGTGGACAGGGTCAGAGAAACCATCGCTTCAACCTTTCCTTTTAGCAGCTTTGTTGAGGTACAACTCACACGTCACGCAGTCCACCCTTGTCAGGTGGACAAGTCAGTGGTGTTCAGTGGAATCAGAGCCGTGCAGCCTCGCCTCCGCCTGATGACATCGCTGTAAGAGCTGGACAGGGGCTCTGACCCCTCCAGGCCTGACCACCTGACGTCCCTCTCCTCACTCTGGGTGTGCACAGCCGTGGTCAGGGGGTGGCCCCTGAAGCAGACCACCAGATTGAATTTCTCCTGCGCCACTTACGTGTCACGTGGCCCGGCAGTGGAGCCGACTATGTGTGTCTCGCATTCCTCGTTGGTGAAATGGGGATGGCAGTGTCCCCTGTGTCCGGGAGTTGCTGTGAGGGCTAAAGGAATTAATCTCCACATCTCCCTGGAGCAGCACCTGTCCCAAGGGTAGTGAAGAATGAGGGTGACTCTCAGCTTTGTGTGCAAAAACCCAGGAATCTGGAAACTCTGTCCTCAGCTAATCTTTGCCTTCCCAGGGTGGACCAGCCGCACCCAGTTTGAGGAAACGTGGGCCACCCTCCTCGGTGTCCTGGTGACGCAGCCCCTCGCCATGGAGCAGGAGGAGAGCCAACCAGAAGTAAGGCTGTGGGCAGGCCCAATGCCACATAAATGCTGTGGCTGCTACCTGGGACAGGCAGACCAGGTGGGCCCAGCGCCACATAAACGCTGCAGCTGTGACCTGGGACAGGCAGACCGGGCGGGCCCAGCGCCACATAAACGCTGTGGCTGTGACCTGGGACAGGCAGACCAGGCGGGCCCAGCGCCACGTAAACGCTGCAGCTGTGACCTGGGACAGGCAGACCGGGCGGGCCCAGCGCCACTTAAACGCTGTGGCTGTGACCTGGGACAGGCAGACCGGGCGGGCCCAGCGCCACATAAACGCTGTGGCTGTGACCTCGGTCAGGCAGACCGGGCGGGCCCAGCGCCACATAAACACTGTGGCTGTGACCTGGGTCAGGCAGACCAGGCGGGCCCAGCGCCACATAAACACTGTGGCTGTGACCTCGGTCAGGCAGACCGGGCGGGCCCAGCGCCACATAAACGCTGTGGCTGTGACCTGGGACAGGGAGACCGGGCCAGTAGCTTGTCAGCCGTTAGTGGTGGGCACGAGGAAGGCAGGGGCTACGATTTTCCTACCCTACCTTATTTTCCAGGGACTAAGCCACATTGTGTTGTGACTGATGTCCTTGAGCAGGGACAGATCTCCCAGATGCTGGCGTGTCTAAATTGCCAGTGCTACAGGGCGCTTTAGCGCAGCACGTTGGCCTGTGAAGGGTGAGCACACCTGCATCCTTGACGGAACTGCTGAGTTCTGTTTATTTAACGGTATTCAGAGGGGTGTGTGATTTGAGTTAAAGTGAAGAGGCACTTCATGAGGACCAGGGATATGGACCTGTGGTTATTTTCCCTGACTGTCTTACACAGATTCTATTAGGCTTCTCAGAGTGTTAATGTTACCATATGTTAATACGGTATTAACGACAACTGCGTTCCGGTAAAGCAAAGTCAGATATAAAAGTCGTGTGATGTGAGTCCTTCGTTCTGATGGTACGTGTGATGTGAACTTGCACAGTTAACAGTTCAGAGGGAGAACAATCATCTAGATTGTTTTAAAGCTAGGAGCTAACAGATTGTCATATGCAAAGTTCCTAAAATCAGCGAGCAAGTTTAAGGATGGTTTCTTCAAGAGTAATTCCTGTTTGGAGTTGTGTCCACAGGAAACCTTGCTTTGAAAGGTAGACATTTGCCCAGCTGGTTCATCCCAGGGCAGGTAGGTGTGTGTGAGTGCTGCACTTTGCTGGCACACCCTCGTGCAGACCAAGAAGACTGTGGCTGGGGGACTCACGTCCCTCCTGCCGCTCAGGTCCTACTCCCCCGTGTACTCAGGTCTCCTGTCCTCCTGACAAGGCCGTTGTGGCCTCTGGCCCGAGAATTATGGCCTGCCCCTCTCTGTGTGGTGACACAGGGCTGGTTGTTGGGTTCTGCTGCTCATGACCTTGTAACCTGTGGGCTTTCCTTCCAGGAAGACACAGAGAGGACCCAGATCAACGTCCTGGCCGTGCAGGCCATCACCTCCCTGGTGCTGAGCGCCATGACTGTGCCTATGGCCGGCAACCCTGCCGTGAGCTGCTTGGAGCAACAGCCCCGGAACAAGCCGCTGAAAGCGCTCGACACCAGGTCTGCCTGCAGCTCCTGGGAGTCCTCGGGCACAGATGCCAGTGGGAAACGGGCAGGGCCCTCCCCAGGTGACAGCGCTCGCCTGGCACCCCGTCTTTCCTTGCCAAAATTAAAAACAGCGTGCCGGTGCCTTGCTGCAAGAGGTGCTGAAAAGGTGGAGAGTTCCAGTGTCTCCAGGGGTGACTTAGTACGTGGGGACAGGCCGAAATGAGACACGAAATTCCACGGGGTCATTTGAGTGTTGAGGGGCAGGTCCTAGCGGAACAAGAATGGACAAGCTACCGGAACACCTGAGTACGGAGGAACGGGCAGGAGCTGGCTCACACCCGAGTCCTGTTCAGAATCGTCCAAGCTCCTCCGTTGTCTCTGGGCAGAGCTGGGGGACGTTCCAGTATTTCTCACTGTTAGGATTTTGAAGGAAACAAACTGATCTTTAACGTTTGTTCTGAATCTTAGGTTTGGGAGGAAGCTGAGTGTTATCAGAGGAATTGTAGAGCAGGAAGTTCAAGCAATGGTTTCCAAGAGAGAGAATATCGCCACCCATCATTCATACCAAGCGTGGGACCCTGTCCCTTCTCTGTCTCCAGCTACTACAGGTACCTGTGCAGGGTGGTGGGGGCTGTATGTACTTGGGCTGGAGTGAGGCTGTGACTCGCATGTTGAAGACACTGGGTAGGCAGGAAGCCCTGGATGGCGGTTGTCTTTGTAGCAGCTCCCGTTGCCCACGCGCTGGCCCCCATCACAGAGGAGAGTCTCACTCGGGCCGGGGGTGTTAACTCTCTTGAGGACACGAAGTCTGGACTTGCCACTCGAGTTTGGGAAGCAGAAGGGTTCTCAGAGGCTGGAAGACGCAGCCTGCACGGGGCCTTTCAACCTGAATTAGTTACTCCCATTCAGGATCCAGAGCGCCCCCAGGCACACTGGGTCTCTGGAAAGTCCCACCGACAGGTGTCCACCAGCTCAGTGGAGGGGCACCCCGGCCCCGGCCGCCCCGCCTGCTCCTCCCCTGGACCCTGCCCCGGCTGCGTGGATTTCCAGCTGGGCCCCAGATCAGGTGCCTGCCCTGTGGGCACGAGACCCAGGGTTAAAGAAGGAGAATTCCATGGGTTGTTTTTTTTAATGCCCATATTTTTAGTTGAAACAACAGTGTTTTAGCAGAGTCTTTGGGATTTCCCGGTTTTTCAGAAGTTGTTAGATCTTGCAGGTTTAAGCATTTAGAAGACGTTGTCTGAAAAAGCTTTCATAATCAGGTACAGTGTTACCCAGAGGCCATGGTTACCAGGGCGCCGAGTACTTGAGGACCACAGGTGAAATGGCTGTGGTCCAGCCCTCAGGAGTTCCGGACTGACGGGAGATGAGGAATAGACACAAGTAGCTATCACAGGAGCCAGACGGGAGGAGGTGCAGAGCAGGGCCCAGGAGCTCTGAGGAGAGCAGATGCTTCCAGGGCAGGGGGTCGGGAGCCTCTTGGCAGGAGTTTCATCTGGAATTGTACAAGCCCCTCTCTTGTCTCTGGGCAAAGCTGGGGGACGTTCTGGTGTTTTTCACTTTTAGGATTTTGAAGGATGCTAGGATGGCAGAGAGGATCAGAGACAAGGCCTTCCACTGAGGGCTGGGGAGTGGGACACGTGGGGGTGAGGCATCTTCTGGTCGGGGGTGTGGAGTGTATGGGAGATGGTGGGTGTACCTGGGGAAAGAGGCAGCGTGGGGAAACGGGCCTGTGCCTGCGTCTGGCAGGCAGGGCAGGACAGCTCGGTGCTGAGGCAGAGCCGGAAGTATTATCCATTGGAACTATTGTTGGGGCTGCGGAGTGAACACCTGCTGGACTCTCTGCCTCACCTGTAGCCGCTGACTGTGAGCTTTGTCAACTCAGCCCTGAGCCCAGAGTCCGAGGCTGAGGAATGAGCCACGAACGAGACAAAGTGTGTCCAGGATCGCCCATGACCCTGTCTGTCTCACAGATACAGATACAGAGAGCCCCGGAGGCCTGGGAGGCTCTGTGCACCTGAGTGAGAGGACCGGGCAGAGCAGCTGTCGGGTGGGGAGAGGGCAGCTCAGAGGGCTGGGGCTGTGTGCTAACACACCCTTGTCCCAGGGCGTCTGTACCACAGCCTAGTGGTATTCTTGCTTTGCAAGCGCCCTGATCATCTGAGGGGGGCATGGGGTGCCTGCCTGGTGGGAAGAGGATGACTTGGAGGGCTAGGGCTGTGCACTGAGCTGTGCCCACACGCCCTCATTCCAGGGCGTCTGCACCAGCCTCATGGTGTCATCGCTTTGCAGGTGCCCTCATCAGCCATGACAGGCTCCTGCTCCAGGCCAACCCCGAGCGGGAGCTGGGGAACATGAGTTACAAGCTCGGCCAGGTTTGTTCTCCCATTCCGCCGGCTCCGGCCTTGTCCCCTGTGTATGTGTGATGATGTAAATGTGTGTGAGATGTAGGAGTGTGAGCTGGAGTCAGGTGAGAAAGGGGAGGCCAGGGAGACCAGGGCCAGGCCGTGCAGCACTGTCAGGAGGGAGAGCGCCCGCAGTGAGGACCCCATTTTCCAGCGGGCTGCAGAGCTGGGCATGTGCTCTCCGGCCGCCAGCTCAGAGAGAAACGCGGCCGCACAGTTCTCAGTGGGCAGGCAGATAGGGTTTGAATGTCAGCTTGACCCCTTAGTGGGAGCTAGCTAGGCAGGTGGCAGAGAAACGGGACAGCTGTGAACGTGCAGTGTGTCTTGTGGCGCTGAGACACTGGGAGCTCACCGTGGAGCGTGCTGGGTGGTGCCTGTCCAGGTGCGCTCAGTCAGCGTCCACAGCCCTGGTGGCGGGCTGAGCGTCCATGCACCTTCCCTCCACCACTGCTGTCCTCCTCCCAGTGTGTTACTGGTGTACCTAGAAACCAGTTATGTGGTGCGGTTTATTTCTTAGTTTTAGTTTCAGAAGAAACCTATCAGGATGGTGTTTAAAATACTTGGTAGTTCCGAGGGCTTTGGGCTCGCACAGTCTGTCCCCAGCTCCCCGTCCTCCGCTTGCACGGGCCCCTGTGGTCCTACTGGTGGCTGCTGGCCTTAGTGAGCGAGGGAGTGAGAGGCAGGGAGCTGCTGCTATGCTTGAGTGTTAGACTCGGTCAGTCGGAAAAGAAGCCACTGACAGATGCCCCCATTCTTTCTCCTTTACGGGGAGTGTCCCCCCAACATAAGCGAGAGTGACCTTTAGAACCCACTGGGAGTTTGATGGCCGGGTGTGTCTGAAGAGCAGGCTGCCTGAGAACTCTTCTCCAAGTGCCTGTGGTCACCTGACTGCGTACTTCCCCAGTGTTCTTGTCCCAGTCCATCCATCCACAAATGGGGCTGAAATGGAATGCCAGCCCTGCCCTGTCTGGGCTGGTGGCCCCCAAATTACCCCTGTACTGAGCCACCACTTGCTTTTGGGAAGCAGTCGGGGTGGGGTGGGGAGATGAGGGGAGTGGAAGGGCACTCTTTCCAGGCCCGAAGATTGCTTTTACGGAGCCACAGTTTATTCACAGCCCCAGGTAGGCCTTCTGGGCCCTGGCCTTCGGTCTGTCCTGCCCACCGCCGGCCCGCTGAGGGGGTGGGACCAACAGGAGTAGTGGCTGTGCAGAGCAGGGGTTGGGATCGGTGGCACCAATTATGGAAACAGCTCTTTGTGGAAATGCAGCCTACTTTCACGTCTTCCTTCTTTCAGCAAACTCTCAATAGGTGTTTGGAGGGGGCATGGGACAGGGGCATGGGACAGATGGCAGGAGCCCCAGCCTCTTCCCAGGCAGGCTTACCCACCGTGGACGTGATTACTCTGCTCCCAGCACCACCCTCAGCCTGCCTGTGTTGATTCCTAACCCCAGCTTTCCCGGTTATTCCCTACCATGCCCTTTCCAAAATTAGCACATCACCCCTTTTGGATTTGTAAAGGGCTGTTTTTTAGCAAGTAATTCAGACAGATGGGGTTTACCAGGCTTATCACAAATAGCTACTAATGAGTGAGTACCAGACTTACCATAGATAACAGCCAGTGAGTGAGTACCAGACTTACCACAGTTAATGACCGGTGAGTGAGTACCAGGCTTACCACAGATAATGGCCAGTGTTGAGTACGAGACTTACCCAGATAACTACCATTGAATGAGTATCAGACTTACCACAGATGACAACCAGTGAGTGAGTACCAGACTTACCACAGATGACCAGTGAGTGAGTACCAGGCTTACCACAGATAATGGCCAGTGTTGAGTACAAGACTTACCCAGATAACTACCATTGAATGAGTATCAGACTTACCACGGATGACAACCAGTGAGTGAGTACCAGACTTACCACAGATGACCAGTGAGTGAGTACCAGGCTTACCACAGGTAACGACCGGTGAGTGAGTATCAGGCTTACCACAGATAACGGCCAGTGTTGAGTACCAGACTTACCCAGATAACTGCCATTGAATGAGTATCAGACTTACCACAGATGACGACAAGTGAGTGAGTACCTGCCTTACCACAGATGCTGACCGGTGAGTGAGTACCAGGCTTACCACAGATGACGACTGGTGAGTGAGTACCAGGCTTACCACAGATAACTACCATTGAATGAGTATCAGACTTACCACAGATAACGATCAGTGAGTGAGTACCAGGCTTACCACAGATGATAACCAGTGAGTGAGTACCAGGCTTACCACAGATAATGGCCAGTGTTGAGTACCAGACTTACCCAGTTAACTACCATTGAATGAGTACCAGACTTACCACAGATGACCAGTGAGTGAGTACCAGGCTTACCACAGACAACGGCTGGTGAGTGAGTACCAGGCTTACCACAGATAACAGCCAGTGTTGAGTACCAGACTTACCCAGATAACTACCATTGAATGAGCACCAGACTTACCACAGATAACGACCAGTGAGTGAGTACCAGGCTTACCACAGATGGCAACCAGTGAGTGAGTACCAGGCTTACCACAGATAGCTACCAATGAGTGAGTACCTGGCTTGAAAAGAAGTCTCATGAACTGGTTCCATTTTTGCCAGGACTTTATTCACGTGTCACTTGGCAGTGACACTTGGGGCCTTCTTCCTTCATCCTCTCCTCACTGCTCCTGTGGGAGTGACCACTCCCCATTCCAGGTCCTTTTTCCTGAGGTTGAAGCTTTCACGCGACGCTCTAGTCGCCTCCCAGCTCCGTGAGGCTCTCTACCACGTGCCCCCTGCACCTTTACCCCCCTGCCCTGCTAGGTGACAGGCCATTCCACGGGGTCATTCTCAGGCCAGGCTTCCCCTGCCGCTCAGCCACGGAGCCAAGCCCACCAGGAGCGGTCCACCTGGCACGCTTGCTCTGAGTGCTGGCCTGAGTGACCTGTTTCTCCTCCAGGTTTCAATACACTCTGTGTGGCTGGGAAACAACATCACACCCCTGCGAGAAGAGGAGTGGGGTGAGGAGGAGGAGGAGGAGGTTGATGTGCCCGCGCCTTCCTCACCACCCACATCGCCTGTCAACTCCAGGTTCGCCATTTGCCTTTTGAAGATTTTTTGAAGCAATTAGACACTTCTCATTAGTCATTTGCTTGTTTGGGGGTTGTTTGAAAAGATGAAAAATACTTGTTTTTATGTGTGCTCTCTGCAGGAAACACCGGGCTGGGGTGGACATCCATTCCTGCTCACAGTTTTTGCTTGAACTGTACAGTCGCTGGGTCCTGCCATCAAGCTCAGCCAGGAGGACTCCTGTCATTCTGATCAGTGAAGTGGTTCGATCTGTGAGTTCACCTTCCCAATCTTGCACGCACGCACGCACGCACGCACACACACACACAACCTAGGTGGTATAAAAAAACCAAAAAATCCATCGCCATCGGTCAGTTCTGACTCATAGTAACCTGTAGGACAGAGTAGAACTGCCACATAGGGTTCTCAAGGCTGTGATCTTTATGGAAGCAGACTGCCACGTCTTTCTCCCACGGAGGGGTGGTGGGTTTGAACTGCTAACCTTTCGTTAGTAGCCGAGCCCTTAACCACTGCACCACCGGGGCTTCTTTGGTGGTGTATAGTCTCTGATAATCTGTGAAGGAACTCTTACAAATTCGCAGTTAACTCTGTGTTTCTCAAAGCAGGGAAGGAAAGGAATGTTTTTTTTAAATTTCCAATCTGTGGCAGGCTGAGACTCTTAAAACACAGTAGAAGTGCCATGGAGAGGTCAGATTGCTGTGCAACCTGTAAAGGCTGGCTTCCGTCATCTGTACCGTCTCCTCTGGAGCCTGAGACAGACAGTTCTGGGACCGCAGGCCTCTGTGCAGCAGCACTGATCAGAGCAGCCGCCACACACTTTCTGGTCTCAGGATTCCTTTCCGTTCTTAAAACCCAGTGAGGATCCTAAAGAGCGTTGTTTATGGGGGTTATGAAAAAGCAACAACGACCAGGTGCTGTCAAGTCAATTCTGACTCACGGCGACCCCATGTGTGTCCGAGTGGAACTGTGCCCCATAGCGTTTTCAATGGCTGGTTTTTTCGGAAGTAGATTGCCAGGCCTTTCTTCCAGGGGGCCTCTGGGTGGACTTGAACTGCCAACCTTTCAGTTAGCAGCCTGCATGTATCTGGATTTTATTCTGCCTGGGCCATCAGAACACGCATCGCCCCAGGAGCGTTGTGGGCTGAGTTTCCCACATTCCTCATGGCATAACCCCCTCTCTGCCCTCACTTCTGTGTCTGCAGCTTCTTGTGGTCTCAGACTTGTTCACTGAGCGCAGCCAGTTTGAGATGATGTATGCGACGCTGACGGAGCTGCGGAGGGTACACCCTTCAGAAGATGAGATTCTCATTCAGTATCTGGTGCCGGCCACGTGCAAAGCAGCTGCTGTCCTGGGCATGGTAAGCTGGAGGCAGCAGGGCACCATGCTCTCTACCAGAGCCACTGGGTCCCTCTCGTTGGTGCCTGATGTTGGCAGAACATACCGGGTGCGGCCCCAGCCTTTGAAGGTCCATCCTGAGCTTCCGTAGCCCACGTGAGCTGGCAGGACCGAGGGGAGGGGGAGGAGTCCGTTAGTGTCGTCTTTCCACAGTCCCCGTGAAGCAGCATGTTGGGAGTGAGCCTTCTCATGTCACAGGAGCATCCACGGGCGTGGACCGTGAACACATGACTGTCCCTCCTCCCTCTTCCGCCACGGCCTGCCCACAGGCGTGACAGCCCCAGCCCTCCTCAGCGCGCCCCGTCCTGGGAGTGACTGGGTGTCTCCGCTCCCACTGGGCACTGTGGTCTGTCAACAGAAGACCCACACGGCTCCTTTTCTGCGTTCCTCCTCGTTCTGCCTCATTTGTCAGAATTCAGCCAGGGCAACACCAAGTTCCTTCTCTGGGGTGTTCTCAGAATACCAGTTAGTATCCCGGAACATCTGCTCCTGCGTACAGTGAGACGTGTACCCACGGGCCCCGCTTGTCAGTAAGAGCACCCTAAGGGGTCCCGGCTCTGCCATTAGAGAAGTACAGCTTGATTCCAGACGCTCTTTCTGCATCCTGTTTACTCCTTGGCAAGTGGCATCAGCCCATTATCGTGGTGCTTTCTCGCTCAAATGTCTCCGGGATCCCTTTTCACGAGAGCAGTAGAGCCTCATTCTCTCAGCACACACTGCTACCGGGGGCAGGCATTTGGGGTCGTCAGTGAGAGTGGCGGGCAGGGCCGGCGCACCCCCGCCCCAGGGTTCCTGAGCTTCCTGTCTTTCCGAGTGTAACAATGGTAACCGCAGCTGGCCCTTGTTGGGCTCTTCCCCACGCCTTCCTGCGTAACCCTCCACAGCCACAGCCCGACGAAGGTAAGGCCCGTCATTGTCCCGGGTCACATCGGGGAAGCCGAGCTGCAGGCGGTTAGCAGCCTTGCTCAAGGTCTGTGACCCCGGGACCCCCACTGGTACCGCCCCTTCCCGCCCGGGCTCCCACACAGAGTTTGCCCTCGCGGAGCCACAGTGGCCAGGCAGGTATCGTCCACCTTGGGGGGCTCCCGGCCCTGGAGCCACACTGGTGACTTCCTAGAGGCCCTCAGGGAGCAGAAACAATGTGTGTGCTGGCTTCTCTTCTGTGAACACATCTCTTCAAAGTGTACCCCCTCTGGTTGCAGAAACTAAAGGCAGCTTGGTCCTTTTGTCTTCATGGGGCATTTCAGCTGCGGGGTGAGTTGTAACTGTGGCTTTGTGTCTAGGCCCAGATCCCTCAGGCAAATGCTGTGTCATCAGGGCATCACATAAAGAATAACAATGAAGGGACAGGTCCTGAGGGGAGATGCTGCATGGCACTGACCCCCAGTGCTCATCTGTGCACGCGAGTGCTCTTTAAAGATGCCGTCTCCGCGAAGGTGCCTGCGTAGTGTGCGTCAGCACAGACAGTGTCTCGCCAAACTGTCTGCTTTTGAGATACTTGTTGGAGGTGGGGAAATCTGCAGTCCACAGCCAGCAAACCCTGGGTTGCACTTTTGGGAGTAGGGACTGGAGATATGAGTGGGAGCAGCTCTTAAGAAGCTGCCACATAGCCTCATTGGGGTGGGGGCAGGGACAGAGCATCAGGACGAGGTGAGGAGGGGAAGAGGGAGTCAACCTCAGCCTGGGACAATAGGGGCACAGAATTTCCACGCAGGGTCAGGTGGCCAGGCAGCCTCTTGCTGCCTTTGAGGAAGACAAGGGCGTCAACCAGCCACTGGTTGCTGTTCATGGGATGGGAATGGTCTGCAGGCCCGCAGGCTGCCACCTGCCTCAGGCCGTGCGTGTTCTGTGAAGCTCCTCTCTTCACCGTGAGGGCCCTGTGTGTTCTATGAAGCTCTTCTCTTCACTGCTAGGGCCCTGCGTGTTCTGTGAAGCTCTTCTCTTCACTGCTAAGGCCCTGCGTGTTCTATGAAGCTGTTCGCTTCACTGCTAGGGCCCTGCGTGTTCTATGAAGCTGTTCTCTTCACTGCTAGGGCCCTGCGTGTTCTGTGAAGCTCTTCTCTTCACTGCTAGGGCCCTGCGTGTTCTGTGAAGCTCTTCTCTTCACTACTAGAGCCCTGCATGTTCTGTGGAGCTGTTCTCTTCACTGCTAGGGCCCTGCGTGTTCTGTGAAGGTCTTCTCTTCACTGTGAAGCTCTTCTCTTCACTGCTAGGGTTCTGCATGTTCTGTGAAGCTCTCCTCTTCACTGCTAGGGCCCTGCGTGTTCTGTGGAGCTCTTCTCTTCACTGATAAAGAGCAAATCTCGAGAAATACGGTACTCAATTTTTTTTTTATTGTTGTGCTTCAAGTGGCAGATTACAATTTCAAATTAGTCTCTCATACAAAAATTTATACGTACATTGTTATGTGACCCTAGTTGCTCTCCCTATACTGTGACAGCACCCTCCTTTCCACCCCGGATTTCCCATGTCCATTCAACCAGCTCGTGACCCTCTGCCTTCTCATCTCACCTCCAGACAGGAGCTGCCCATTTAGTCTCATGTATCTACTTGAGAAGAAGCACACTCTTCACAAGTATCATTTTATGTCCCATAATCCAGTCTAATCTTTGTCTGAAGAGCTGGCCTCAGGAATTGTTTTAGTTCTGGGTTGATAGAGAGTCTGGGGGCCATGCTTTCTGGGATTCCTCCAGTCTCAAACCATCAAGTCTGGTCTTTTTACTAGAATTTGAGTTCTGCACCCTACTTTTCTCCTGCTCCATCTGGGACTCTCTGTTGTGTTCCCTGTCAGGGCAGTCATTGGTGGTAGCCGGGCACCATCTAGTTCTTCTGGTCTCAGGCGAATCAAGTCTCTGGTTTATGTGGTCCTTTCTGTCTCTTGGTCTAGTATTTCCCTTGTGTCTTTGGTGTTCTTCATTCTCCTTTGCTACAGGTGGGTTGGGACCAATTGATGCATCTTAGATGGCCGCTGGCTAGCTTTTAAGACCCAAGACACCACTCACCAAAGTGGGATGCAGAACATTTTCTTAATAAACTTTTTTATGCCGGTTGATCTAGATATCCCCTGAAAGCATGGTCCCCAGACCCCCACCCCTGCTACTCTGTCCCTCAAAATGTTTGGTTGTATTCAGGAAATTTCTTAGCTTAGTACTCAATGTTTTTAACTCCATTTTGTTTAGGGTGCTCAACGGAACTGATGCTACTTTGGTCTAAGTTGGTATAAAGTAGTTGTGTCCAGGATACCCAGAAGCAGACCAGGTTCGGTGATTTGCTAGAAGAGCTGACAGGACTCAGCACGTATTGTACTCACAGCTGAGCTTTCTCACAGCGGGAGGACACAGAGCAAGCTGAGCACAGGGAAGAGGCGTGTGGGGCCAAGTCTGGGGAAACCAGGCACGAGCTTCCAGGGTCCTCTCCCCGTGCACTCACGTGGGACGCACTTCATTCCCCCTGCAACGAGCGTGACAGCACGTGTGAAGCGTTGTCCACCAGGGAGACCCGTTAGAGACTCAGGGCCCAGGGTTTTTATTAGGGCTGGTCACGTAGGCACCTCCGCCTGGCTCGCAGCAAGATTCCAGACCCCCAGGAGGAAAGCAGGTTGTTTTCCTTCAGCATGAACCGCGTGGTCTGCACCAACAGTTTAGGCACAGGGGGAACCCTCCTGAAATCCCTGTTCCCTGTTGCCGGCCCAGGGCCCGCCTCACAGGTAGCCTTTCTGATGACAGCGGCCAGGCCTGCCGGTGGACTTTCCCTGCTCACTGGTCTCCAGCCCCACTCCCTCCTCCCAGAGCCACAGGTTCTGACTCAACCCCCAGCAAGGGTCAGCGGGGGCAGAGGGCGCTGTCCAGTGTGGGGCAAGCCTCCGTGTGTGCCTGCCCTAGGACAAGGCCGTGGCCGAGCCAGTCAGCCGTCTGCTGGAGAGCGCCCTCCGGAGCAGCCACCTGCCCAGCCGGATCGGCGCCCTGCACGGCATGCTCTACGTGCTCGAGTGTGACCTGCTGGACGATACCGCCAAGCAGCTCATCCCCGTCATCAGCGACTACCTGCTCTCCAACCTCAAGGGCGTCGCCCAGTGAGTGCACCCAGGACCAGGGATCGGGGGACCTCAGAGTGGGCTTGCATGTGGATGTCAGGGGACCGAGGCAGGCCTGCTTCTCACGGAGAATGCTGGCCTAGGGGTGCTAGGCATGGGGGCGCAGTACTGTCCCTGCTGCTCTCAGGGACTCCCTCCACGAGTTGCTGGAACACGCCCCCACCTGCGGCTCTTACCACATGCCCCCACGTGTGCACTCATGTGCATGCATCCCTCATGCCCTCAGCAACAGGGCACTCCTCCTCTGCCCGCTAATTCTGACCTGACCCGCGATCGTGCCACAGCCTCTGCCCTGCACACCCCAGGATTCCTGCTCAGGTCTTGGCCGCACAGCTGACACAAAGCCCCTTAGAAGGAAAGGTGCTCGTCACAGCTGTCTCTTCATGCTCACAGCAGCATCATGGGGCTGCATGTCAGTCCGCTCCCCCAAAGAGACAGATCTAAGCCTGAGGCTCTAGGCTCCTGGCAGGAGGAGCTGCCTCGAGCACCACCCTTGGGGGAGGCTGTGGAGATGGGGTGTGTGGCTGCGAGAGGAAGTCAGCTGTCTGTCTGACGAGAGAAGAGGTGGGGGAGGGTTCAGTGGGAGGTTTGGAGTGAGGTGGTGACGGCCTCAAAAGCCTCGATGGCCATGGTCACAGCAAGGAGGCATGTGGGAGGCTTTGAGACAGGGCAGTGTGAGTGGGGGCACGTCTGACGGCGCTGGTGTTTGGGACCCACCGGAGGCCCCAGCCTGGTCCAGGCTGGAGTGGCAGGGGCTGTTCCCGTTGGCCTCCTCGCGGGGTGGGGAGCACTGTGCGAGCAGGGTGGCCGGCCCTGGGGTCCCTCCACGCTCCCCAAGTCGGGCCCAGACAGGCCACTCCAAGTGCACTGACAGCATGGCGGGGGCAGGAGGCAGAGTAGGGTGCAGATTCGAGAGCCCCCGCAGCCGGGCCGGTGTCCCACGTAGCAAGCGGCACAGATGTCGGTGTGATGATTTGACTCTGCTGCTCCTGAGGCAGGAGGAGCAAGTGCGGGAGAGGATGAGAAGGGCACAGAACGTTCCAGAGAGCAGGAAGGACTGGGACAGGGCCAGGGCGCATGGCCTGGAAGAGCCGTCCAGTGGTAGACATGCCCCAGGACACGGGGGCACGAGGCTCTGAACACATGGGTGGGGGGAGTCTGGGGGCCCCACTGTCAGACAAGAGGAGTGCTCACCCCTGGTTGTAGAGGTGTGGTTGCTGCCCGCTCGGAACCCGCTGGCTGCATCCAGCTGAGCTCCACCGTCGTCCACGTTCCAGCTGCGTGAATGTCCATAGCCAGCAGCATGTCCTGCTGATGTGTGCCACCGCCTTCTACCTGATCGAGAACTACCCCCTGGACGTGGGGCCCGAGTTTTCTGCCTCCATCATACAGGTGAGCGTCGGTCAGATGTGCGGCCCCGGCTCCCCTGTGGTGGTGTGGCGGTCTCTGTGTCCATCCTCTGTGTTGTCCGTCTGTGTTCAGTCTGGGGGGAGGCGGACGGAAGACGTGCAAACACACGCGGCCTCTCTGCTGTCCAGATGTGCGGCGTGATGCTATCGGGCAGCGAGGAGTCCACCCCGTCGGCCGTGTTCCACTGCGTCCTGCGGGGCCTGGAGCGTCTCCTCCTCTCGGAGCAGCTCTCGCGGCTGGATGCTGAGTCCTTGGTCAAGCTGAGCGTCGACCGTGTCAGTGTGCACAGCCCGCATCGCGCCATGGCCGCCCTGGGCCTGATGCTCACCTGCATGTACACAGGTGTGCAGACGAGTGGACACACCTGAGCTCACCGCCCACACCCCTGCCCCTGGCTTGGACACCCTCAGCCAGCCTGTCTCTCTATGGGGGGAGGAGATTCTGAAGCTTGAGCGGGTTGGGCAACATGCTCAGGGTCGCGACCCTGTATGTCAGGGTCGGGACCAGAGGAGAGCAGCTCTGAGACACGAGCCCCCAGCCCACCATGCAGCCAAGCCGGGGCCCTGACCTCCGGTCAGCCCAAGGTGTCTGTCAGGCTGTGTCGAGCACAGTCTGCAGGCCTGGTCAGGGTCTCCAGGTGCTGACCTCGGGGCTGACGGCTCTGTTCCAGGGAAGGAGAAAGTCAGCCCGGGGAGGTCGACAGATCCCACCCCCGCGGCCCCGGACAGTGAGTCGGTGATCGTGGCCATGGAGCGGGTGTCTGTCCTTTTCGACAGGTGAGACCTGACACCTGCCTCTCTGCTCTTGACTGTCCTTGAATTTCAGCTGGAGCAGCTTCATCCATGCACACCTGCCTGCTTGCCCGCAGCTCCCCGTTGGGGCTCCCCACTCGAGGCTCCCCACTGGGGACTCCCTGCTCATGTCTGCTGGGAACTCCCCACTCGCAGCTCCCTGCTCGAGCTCCCCGCTGGGGGCTCCCTGCTCGCAGCTCTCCCCGCTGGGGCTCCCTGTTGGTGGCTCCCTGCTAAAGAGTCCCTGCTCACAGCTCTCCTTGCATGAGGTTCCCCACTTGGGGCTCCCCTCTGGGAACTCCCTGCTCGTGGCTCCCCACTCGGGGCTCCCCACTGGGGATTCCCCACTCGAGGCTCCCTGCTCAGGGCTCCCTGCTCGGGGCTCCGTGGCGCTGGCAGCCCTGGCGTGCTGCGGTGTTTCTGACCCAGGGCCATCCCAAGTGGCCACCATCTCCTGTGAGCAGAGTCAGGGTGTCCAGGTGGGCACGTTCATGAGGACTGTGACAGATACTGGGCTGGCAGGGGCCCTGATCAGGGACTACAATGTCAGCTAAACTTCCCGGCCTCTCCTGAGTGAGAAGCTAGACCCACAGCCAGGGTAAGAGTGGGGTCGGAGCCGCCCCTTGGCTCCTGGGACACATATCGGAGGCCTCCCAGCAGAGCTTCCGAGCAGCGTGAGGAACAGCTGAGGACGAGTCTCCAGTAGATGGAGGGGAAGGTGTGAACACCCCCAGCCGGAACCGCGGAGCACCATCCAGGCTCGCCACGTTTATTCAGAGTCGACTTAGTCCGCTGTCCAGGGAAGTGGGCGCGGCGCCTCCCAAGAGCAGACTCGTGACTGCGCCCAGGCCCTCCATCAGCTGAGGGATGGCCGCTGACCTCGTGGAGACCAGCCTGCTCCACGTGGCCTGTGGTCCTCAGACGCTTCCATCGGTGGCGTCCCTTGGTTTCCTACAAGAGGCTCTTTGCAGGATCTCCTTTGCCCACGCTTAGGCTGGCAGATGGTCTGGGCAGCTGGGCACACGGGGGCCTGCTTCCACGGTAGACTCTAACCTGAGTGTCGACAGTCACTCTCCTCCGCGCGTGCTCACTGAGCACCCCCCCCCCGACACGCGGACACTTGAAGCAGCCGAGGCCAGCGGCCACAGCCCAGGCCCCTGCCCCGGGAGCACATTGTCTCCCGGAAAGAGCAAACACGTGCATGTACGAGGGGATTTCGGGAGCAGTGCCCACGCTTGCTATGTGTGGCTGCGCTCCGGGGGGACACGTTGCTGCGTTACAAAGTCTAGACAGCCAGTGACCTTCGATGGAGGGATCCTCCAGAGCAGCGGCCATGCGCCACTGATGGGCCTGTGGGCAGGGAGGTCACGGCACCCCTGGAATCAGCTAAGCCCAGGTCTGGGCCACTTCTGACACTTTCTGTAACGGCGGTTGTCACATGTGCACAGCAGCCAGCTCAGAGGATGCCGTCCCGGGCCAGTTTTATGGTCTGTTGAGGGCGGAGCCCACATGCGCACACGTGAGGTCCAGGTCATATGAGAAGGAGTCTGACTTGGCAGAACACGCTTTGTTGGAAAGTTCGTGGAGCTTCTGACACGGGACAAAGCCGAGCGTAACGAGCAAGTTCTGTTAGGACCAGAATACTTCCTGCCTTTTACTCTGCGTTTTGCTTTCCGTGACTGAGCAGCCCCTTCTTGGTCCTGGGTCATCAGCCGAGTGACTGGCTGAGATGGCGAGAGGAAGGCTGGGGTCCTGCCTCCTGTGGGCCCCGCTCCAGGAGCCCCAGCCCAGGCCCCAGGTCAGGCTGGCTGTACTGCGGCCCCAGCATTTTGCCGGGTCAGAGCCAGGCCTTCTGGGAATCAGAGGGGCCCTGACCACTTCCTCCTCCTCTCAGGATCCGGAAGGGCTTTCCCTGTGAAGCCAGAGTGGTGGCCCGGATCCTCCCGCAGTTTCTGGACGACTTCTTCCCACCCCAGGACGTCATGAACAAGGTCATCGGGGAGTTTCTATCCAACCAGCAACCGTACCCCCAGTTCATGGCCACTGTCGTGTACAAGGTGAGGCGCCGCTGCACCCCAGCCCTGCCTCATCACACCGATTCCATCTCAGGATGTGAGGGCCACCGCCTCCCCCACCACAGACTGCAGCTGCAGCCCTGCCCACTGCCTGCCCCACGTCCCCTACTGCCCCGTGTCCCCCTGCCCACCCCTTCCTCCCACAGCCCCCGCACTCCCACAGCCCCATGTCCCCCACCGTCCCATGTCCTCTACCACCCCCGCGTCCCCTCAGCTCCACGTCCCCCACAGCCCTGCGTCCCTTTAGCTCTGCATCCCCCACAGTCCTGTGCTCCCGCTGCCCTGTGTCCCCGTGTCCCCCACAGCCCTGCACTCCTGCTGCCCTGTGTCCCCATGTTCCCCACGGCCTTGTGCTCCTGCTGCCCTGTGTCCCCGCATCCCCCACAGCCCTGCACTCTTGCTGCCCTGTGTCTCCGTGGCCCCTGCAGCCCTGTGCTCCTGCTGCTCTGTGTTCCTGCAGCCCTGCGCTCCTGCTGCCCTGTGTCCCCGTGTCCCCCGCAGCCCTGAGCTCCTGCTGCCCTGTGTCCCTGCCTCCCCCGACCCGAGCCCTGCGCTCCTGCTGCCCTGTGTCCTCGCATCCCCTGCAGCCCTGGCTGTCTTCCAGGTGTTCCAGACGCTGCACAGCACGGGGCAGTCATCCATGGTACGGGACTGGGTGATGCTCTCGCTCTCCAACTTCACGCAGCGGACGCCTGTGGCCATGGCCGTGTGGAGCCTCTCCTGCTTCTTCGTCAGCGCCTCCACCAGCCCCTGGGTGTCAGCGGCGTATCCTTTCCCAGGCCTGTGGCCCTGCTCCCCAGCGGGCCCCCATCTTCCGTCAGCACACAGTTCTCCTGCGTGTGGTTACAGCTGACGAAGCCTGACGCCTGCCCAAAACGAATCATTCTCTCGGGCACAAGTCTGAAGTCAGATCCAGTTCCCACCCCTGAAGCGATGTCTTTGCTAGAAAGCCCCCCTGGCAGCCCTCCCCAGACAGACCACAAGAGCCTTAAAGTGGGCAGCGGTCCCATGCTGACAGCCTTGCCCAGCGTGCGGACCGGGTGGGCAGGCAGGCAGTGGCTCCCTGGCCGGAGCAGCAGCAGGAGCCCCAGCTTGCACTTGATGCCGGGAGCCAGGCCGGGTAAGTGCCGGGGCGGCGCCTTCCCTGTGCCCGGCCCCTCTGCTGCGCTCCGCCGAGCCTGGCCGTCCAGCTGGAGGGCCGGGGCCTGGGGAGAGCCGTGGGCCGCAGCTGCTGCTGCTGCGGCAGGCGGACCGCCCTCCCTGCCGCCGGCTCAGGTGTCAGCAGCCACGGGACGGGTGGCAAGCACACTGACGGGACGGGCCCGCACTGCCCGCCTGCTCCTTAACCGGCCTCGCAGCCTCCCGCACGTCATCAGCAGGATGGGCAAGCTGGAGCCAGTGGATGTGAACCTCTTCTGCCTGGTCGCCACCGACTTTTATCGACACCAGATAGAGGAGGAGCTCGACCGCAGGGCCTTCCAGTCTGTGTTCGAGGTGGTAGCAGCCCCGGGAAGCCCGTACCACCGGCTGCTGACGTGTTTGCGGAACGTCCACCAGGGCGCCACGGGCTGAGGCTGGGGAGCGGCCAGTGAGGAGGGGCAGCGGGGACAGTGGAGCGGCCGTTCCGGGCAGCTTCCACCTCGCCAGCGCGGGGCCGGTCGGCCGCTGTGTCCTCTGCCCGTTGCGGCGAGAGGACCACGCAGGGAATGCGGGCGGGAAGGTCAGGGTAGAGCCTGAGTCTTCGCGGGACGGACGTGAGAGCAGCTGTCCTCCTAACCCTCCACACGGTAGCTAGTGCCACGCGCCGGTAACCGGCTGTTTCTCCTCGTACCGCCCGCTGGAGCCGGGCCTTGGCCACGCCTGCATCTGGGACCCAGGCCCCTGCCCCTGCCGGCGGCCACTAGCCCCTCCAGCTGTCCCCTGGGTGGGAGCTGGTGTCATCGCACTTTGGAGGGTGTTCCCCCAGCGAGATGCAGGCGGCATGGGTCTCTGGACTCGCACAGTCTGGGGGGCAGTGGGCAGCAGACACCCAGCCCATCCTTCCCTCTCTCTTCTCAGGATTTGAAATTGAATTCTATCAGTAAAGAGATGAATTTTAACGTACCTATTTCTATCTCCATGTGAGCGATGTGGCTGTATGCGGACCAGGGCCAGAGCCGCTCTGGTGCCTTGTCCCCTGCATCTGCCGGGCACCTCCTCTCACGTCACCCCAAACATGCCATCGGCGTGTCTGTGGCCTCTGTCCGCCTTTTTATGCATTCGTGCCCGGTCAGGACGCCCACGTACAGGAACTCCCACCCCACCACCGTAGGAACCGAGGGAGGGAGAGTGCCCCTGAGCTTCACCCACCATACAGGTCAGCTTCCCTGTCCTGCAGCTGCAGCCTCTGGGAGGTGTCCTCCGCACCGTCTGGAGCTGGCCCTGTACAGCCATGCCCAGCTGTGCCCGGCTGGGACCACCAAGCGACATTTTGTCTGAGCCCCTCTGGGTCAAGAATAAACTGGGTATCTGGGCAGCTGTCGGGGTAGACCCCAGCTTCTCTGGGCCGTTTCCTCCAACATCAGCTGACGGAGCGGGTGGGGCGGGAGAAGGGGTGGCCCCACGGCCCGAGGCCTAGGCTGGCATTTTGATCCCAGGCCAGAGGTGACCACGGGTCCTGAGAGTCGGCACACTTGATGCAGGGCCACAGTGGCTCTCCTGGCTGGGGCTTCTGGCTGGCTGACCGCACAGCGAGGTGGGCCTGGCCCCCAGGGCCTCAGGCAGACTGTGGGTCACTCAGTGCTTTGCCAGCCGGTCAGCTTAGTCAGGAGCCCAGATGCAGCTGATGGTTCGGGCATTCAGTGTGGTGAGTGGAGGCCGTTCTGCAGCTCTTTTCTTGAGTCTGAATGAAAACGAGAAGAAATTTGGGTTTTGTGAGTTAATTTGCCTCACGTGAGTCCAGGCCGCACTGCCATTTCCCTTGCTGCAGAGCAGCTCTGCCTGGGAGGCTGTGGGGCTCAGGCCGGCCTCCCCAAGAACCCCCGTGCTGGCCAAGAGCGGCCACTTCCTCCAGCCCTTTCCTGCCAAGTCAGCGTGAGGCAGGATGTGCCGGGCTGCAAGAGGGGCTGAGGGGTCTTTCCTGCTGGCCACAGCTCCCAGGCCACGCCTCTGTGGTGGGCAGTGCAGACGGTAGAAGGGCCTGATGTCTGAGTGGACCACTGCTGAATACTAACCGAGAAGTAAGAGAGTCACCTTCTCCCGGTTGTCGGCCCAGCTTCTCCCACTGAGTCTTATAGGCGCATTGTGAGGCGTGGAGACTTGTCCCCCACCCCTCCAGGGTTATGTCATTGGCTCCGAGGGAGAAGTATCACACCCAGATGTTCTGAGCAGATGTTCACATCTGTAAGCAATGCCACTGTGGATATGAAATTTGGAACCATTCCACTTCAGAATTTGTATAGCTGGGCCCAATTTAGAGTTTAAGGGACCTTGTCTGTGATAAGATCTAAAACATTCTGTGGTTGACAAAGGTTCTTGGAGCTAGCTCTCGTGAGAGTGCCAACCCAGAGACCCACCTGTCTGCCGCTGGGGTGAGCAAGCGCCCAGAGAGATGTATGGATGACTCACCCATATAGTGTGTGTATGTATGTATGTGTATACGTATGTATATATGTGTGTATATATATACACCTGTCTGCCCCCAGGGTGAGCGAGCGTCCAGGGAGATGTATGGATGACTCGTCCACATAGAGTGTATGTATATATGTGTATATATATATATATACACTGTCTGCCCCCAGGGTGAGCGAGCATCCAGGGAGGTGTATGGATGACTCACCCACATACAGTGTATGTATATATGTGTATATATATATACACTGTCTGCCCCCAGGGTGAGCGAGCATCCAGGGAGGTGTATGGATGACTCACCCACATAGAGTGTATGTATATATGTGTATATACATACACCTGTCTGCCCCTGGGGTGAGCAAGCGCCCAGGGAGGTTTATGGATGACTCGTCCACATGGAGTGTACGTATATATGTGTATATATACACCTGTCCGCCCCTGGGGTGAGCAAGCGCCCAGGGGGGTTTATGGATGACTCGTCCACATGGAGTGTACGTATATATGTGTATATATATACACTGTCTGCCCCTGGGGTAAGCGAGCACCCAGGGAGATGTATGGATGACTTGTCCACAGAGTGTATATGCATATATATATGTATGTATATGTATATTTGTGTATATATACACCTGTCTGCCCCCGGGGTGAGCGAGCGTCCAGGGAGGTGTATGGATGACTCGTCCACATAGAGTGTATGTATATATGTGTGTATATATACACCTGTCTGCCCCCGGGGTGAGTGAACGCCCAGGGAAATGTATGGATGACTCGCCCACATAGAGTGTGTGCATATGTGTATTATATGTATTATGTACATATGTGTGTGTGTATATATATATACATATATATATATATACTTGTATCTCAAAGACAGGCATGCAAGGCCCATACTGATTATCCTGTAGAAGAAGCTGACATGTCTTAGAACTGAGGAGGTCTGCTGCATGGCTGGGACATGTGAGGGTGACGCTTGGTAAAAGACAGGGTCATTGCTCATTACAATCCCACCTTAGCAGCCAGCTGCTGAAGGGATAGACTTTATCACGTTCCTGGAAAGTTCAGACAAGCACCAACAGTGTTAGCAATCCCGATTTTGAGGAAATGGCGTTCATTGGATTGTCAGTTGGTTTGGGTTTTCTGCTGGTCGTGTCAAGAAAGAGTTAATGAGGCCAGGGTAGAATTGCTGGCTTGGCAGTGCACCTAAGCCCGGCTCTTCTCAGAAACGTGCCTCCCCCTGCTGGCCTGCGCGCCCAGCTGGGTGTCACAGGCAGCCTTCCCCAGCGGGCAAGTGCCCTTCCTCACTGTTCCTCTCCTCACTGTCACCCTCGTTTCTGCCCCAGATATGGACTTCCAGAAAGAGAATAAGCTGAAACGCCTCTAGACACCCAGAACAGACCCCACACCCACCCTGCCCTTCCTGATGGGGTCACCTCCCGGCGTGGGAAGGGCCCTACTGGTAGAGTTGGTGGGACGGTAGTCCAGCTCAGGACCATCTGGGGGGACACGGATCACTGGAGGGCTTGGAGTGGATTTGGGTCTGGTTTGTTGTTGGAGGGTGGAGGTAGTGTCCCTGGGACCTTTGCAGTTTTCTGCTTTGGGGTTCATCCCTCCCTGCCCTGCATTGTTTTTGTATGGGGAGGCCCAAGGGTGCCAAGTTATGGGGAAGAGGACCACCTGCCTGCCCGGATGCCCCTGTGATTGCTGCAGGTGCCTGGAGGGATCGGCCGCGCTTCCCTGTGGGCCTGCTGTGTAATCCAAGCGTCCTGCCTGGAGGGAGTGGGGCTGCAGTGGCTGGGCCAGGTGGGGCCAGCCAGGCCTTGGGGCCACTGGCCAGCAAGCTCCTTCTTGCAGGGATCTTGCTGTCCGTCCAAGCGGGGCTTCTTGTCTGCTGTCATTGGAGGGCAGGTGGCTGTCGGCACGCTGCCATGGCCGCCACCCCCACTGTGCTGGGGCTGTGGGGCTGTGATGGGCGAGCCAGAGCCCTGGCCCTCACCCGGCCATCTGCTCCAGAGAGCAGGGAGGGCAGACGTGAGGTGCACGTTGGACTTTTTTGAAACTGCTGCAAACACTGTACATCCAAAAATAAACCAGGCATTGTTCCTGTACGAGGCTGGCTGTGCTCACTGCGACGGAGTCCGCACCAAGCCTTCATCCCTGCGGGAGGGCGGGCCTCGCTGCCACACCAGCGGGCATCAGCGGACCTTGGCTGGTGACTCGGGCCCCCAGGCAGCGGCTGAGCAGGTAGAGCGCCCTGCTGTGGGCCCCCAACAGGGCGCACAAGCCACCTCGCAGGTGGTCTCTGACCAGCAGACACGGCTGCCAAAAGCTCTCAGGGCTGAGAGACATCGCCGTCTAATTACACAGACGCCTCGTGGCTTGGCGCTTCATTTCTGTTTCCAGATTTGGCCCGGGGCGCTGGCGGGGTGGTCAGGGAACTGGAGCTGTGCCCTCACACGGGCTGTGGGCCGGCTCCCTGGATCCCTGGCTCTGCCGGCTGCTGTGTGTCTGCAGGGCCCTCCCACCCATGTCAGCCTGGGACATCCTTTCCCTGTGAAGCACCACCTTCTTCCGGAAGTCTCCGCTCATTCAGCAAGGGTGCGCCCTTCCCCCCGGGGGCCTGTGGGTCCTGTGTTGTCTGGGAGCGCAGGTGTCTTCCCCACCAGCCTGCGACAGCAGCCTCTGAAGGGCATTTCCCGGGCAGGGTCCCAGCCAGTGAGGGCTGCGGAGTTTAGTAAAGCTGACATCACGTCGGGTTCATGCCCGTGAGGGGGCGTCGTCCATTCATTCCTTCCCGAACCTGCAGGCAGGACCCCTCGGCCAGGCCTCAGGACGGTGCTGGGCTAAGTGGACAGACGCGCCCTCGAGCGGCTCCCGTGTCTGCCCCCGGCTGCTCTCTGTACGGGGTGGTCACTGGGGTGACTGGTGAGAGGACACGGACACTGGAGAAGCACTGCTCAGAGACCACAGGGCTGGAAGGGGCCTGGGGACGTGTCTAAACATCACTGCCTCCCCGAGATGTGTCTCCTGCCTGACACCCCGACTCCACAGCTCCCCTGTGGCCTTTAGGGAAACAGTCACCCCCTTCCCCTCTGTTCTGAGCATGCGG